ACTTCAACTCCATAGAATTCAATCACCATCGCATCTATGTGGAATCACACCCGTATTATGTTCACGGAATGTTCACAATCCACAAGGAAACTCATGAGACGCTCAAAATGCCATTATATCACCGTCTCGCCGTGGCGAGCGACGGATGCGGGTATCACTCAATGCTCGGTGCTAACGACCGTCGTGAACATTTCGCGTGTCACTCATCACGCAAGAGTCATGGGATCGCGTTTATTCACATTTCAACTGTCTATGTAGCGGGATGATCGAAGTTAACGCAGAAATCATCCACAATACGCCTATTATATTGATACATTGTAGAACAGCCTTACGTATGTCACAACTGATTGAGCATTACTTCAATCAATTTTAGTGATATCCGACATCATCAGCATTGGAGTAAACGGTCGTAGTCGGAGTTGGCATGACAAGCATCTGACTTCACACCTTTTTTATCAGGGTTTAAGTGCCTCAGAACAGAGTTACTAAATTTCATGTTTGAGGAGGCGTCGGAGGCCGAATCCATTCTCGCGCCCTCACTAGACGAATATTGGCAGTCCAACAGACTTTCGATCTGTCCAGTAAGGTGGACGGCTCAGTGTGGAGAGGTATGGACTTTGGCTCGGATCACGTTTACTGCCAGCCTATGTATCTCAATGTACGGATGTACACGTACATCACAGTGAGGCTTCTGATGAAGCATCAATCCTAGTACTCATTCTCAAGGAGCTTTTGACACTTAGCGCAACAAAATTATTACTCTCCACAACCACTGAAAAAACTACGATCACTTCAGGAGAAAATGACGATGCGCCACATACCAACTAGCAAATTCACACGTACAGAGTTATATACTCAATGAAAAGCACCACATAATGAGGTCAATCTCAGTGATGGCCAGTTTCTTCAGCAGGATCTAGCCTGTAAAGATGAGGCTCGGCTTTCCTGGCCAAATGCCATTGCTGGTCAACGAAGAACTGCTCACTCTTCAGCTGAGCGGCTGGAGCAGAAGCTACAAGCAACGAAAATCTCATTAAACCACGTAGACCCTTCCTACCCCAGTAGTCACTCCACGCATATGACCAAGCGTTATCGCCATATGAATGATATCTGGACGTCGATACTGCATTATACAGTTCTCGCTGCTGTAT